TTATTCCCAAATTTGTCTATTTTTCCAAGTTATATCATTCCACCAATAACTATAGTCAACACTTACTTCATCACCTAAGGCAATGGTGGGAAAAGAAGGAGGCATGTTGGTTGTGGAATAAGATAACTTACTATTTTTTTTTAAATTATCTTTAATTTTTGAATTTTTGTAGTTTTTGTTATATTAGGAAGTAATTAAAATTACAATATTTATGTACACATAATATATTATATTTTATATAACGTGAAAATTTACTCGAGCATAAACACTTCAGTATTTAATTCGCTACTGTGCTACAAATTCACTAACAATTTTTAGTAATATATAATGGACAGTAACTAATATTCGTGTGATAGCTCAAAAATACCTCCAAGTTAATTTATGGTATTTAAAATATTCAATATAATCTTTATATGTATTTAGAAATATATAATAAGGTTATAGCATAATTTAAAGTCAAACAAAAAAATGATGGATAAGAATGAATGAACTATAATAAACATAAAGAGACATAAAAAATATGGGAACTTTTTAGATGAAGTAGTATAATAAAAAGTGACATAACAAAAAATAACAACTTTTAAATGAAGTGACATAACAAAAGGTAAAAACTTTTAGATAAAGTGGCATGTAAAAAATGGTAATCTTTTAGATAAAGTGACATATGAAAGGTGATAATCTTTTAGATAAAGCAGCATGTGAAAAGTAATAACATTTTAGATGAAATGATATGACGAAAAATAAAAACTTTTATATGAAGTAGCATGACGAAATAGTGATAACCTTTATATTGTGGCTCCCCATTCCTATAAATAGGGGATGATAGAATGGAGAAAAAGACATTTCGGATGAGAGAAAATAGTGAGAAACATAGAGGTGAGGGAATAAGAAGGAGTACGAAATGTTTGACTTTTTAGCATATTTGGAGGTTTTAAATAAAAATATTTAAAAAATCTATTAAATTTGTGATAGTAAATGAATAGGAATATAAGAGGAAAAAGGCTGACGATCAAAAGAATGTTATAAACAATTAGAAAAGTAAACATTTTCTTAAGTTTTAAAGTTCAGTTTCTCTTTAATTTTATATATTAGTTTTTTAGTATTG